TTCCGATCTCATGACCTAAGAGTTTCCCAGACTTGCAACAGCACTGAAAAGATAAGTGAAACTAAAACCATGCAGTTTCCTGGGGCTTTGTGGAAACTCCGGGGCTGTCAGAGGATGACGACTATGACTGAGTCACCTTAAACCAAAGCCAACTGAACCTAAACACACTGTTTATACACAACACCTGTGCAAGTGATCTGTTAACATTTAATTGTTCTAATGGGAAGTGCTCTGATCCTGTTTAAGTGAAAGTAGCACAACAATGTACAAATACCCGTTTACATACAAGAGAAAGTCCCACATTAAACCACCTAATCAGGAAGCTTAGGTGGTTTTGTTTACACTTTACGTTCAGTCCTCTTATATACAGGCGGGGGCTCCGTTTAGTCTTTTTGCAGTCATGACTGTCCGCTGGAGTGTGTTCCTGTCCTGTTTGGTCGCTGAAGCAAACCAGGTGGTGATTTAAGTGCAGAGAAGAGACTGGATGATTCCTCTGTGGAACTGGATCAGCAGCTCCTGGGGCAGGTTGAACTTCCTGAAGTACACCTCTGCTGTGCCTTCTTGGTGATGGTCCTGCTGTTGGACGTCCATTTCAGGTCCTGGGAGAGGCTGAAGTCCACAAAGAGGACCCCTACACAGGTCCCTGGGGAGTCAAGGTGTTCCAGGATATAATGCAGTGCCATGTACATCATCCACTAACCTGTTTGTCCAGTAGGCAAACTGCAGGGTGTCCAGCCGTGGGTCCGTGATGTCCTTCAGGACTTCATGACCACACATGTCAGGGTGACAGGTCTGTGGTCGTTCAGTTCACTTATGGGGGGTTTCTTAGGGACCATTATGATAGTGGAGTGTTTGAAGCAGGAGAGGACTTCACACAGATCCAGTGATCTGCTGAAGATCTGTGTGAAGATGGGGGGCCAGCTGGACAGCACAGACTTTCAGACAGGAGAGAGTCTCCTCAGTACTTTGTTACTTTCTCACACAAGTGCAAAAAGTTCAGGCAGGCCTATTTTCAGTGGCCGTAGTGGAGGAATTTTAATGTTCTGGAAGCAGGCTGTGCTTATCTCTTTCCTGAGCTCAGGTTCCTTCCTGTCAACTGGAAAAGTTGTAAGAATTTACTTTCAATATCACTCACCTTTACACCGTGTCTCTGTATCTGTCTCTGCTTCTCACTTATCTTCTTCAACTGCTTCCTCAGCAGGACCTTTTTATTTTTAGCCTGGTTTTACCTCCATTTGACACCCCACCCTACTCAGGCTTATAATCAGTAGGACTCCACATCAGAAGCCCAGATATTTTAATGGCACTTGTAAGATAAAGAGCAGCATAGCCACACAACTGGAATAAAAAGAGGAACAAACATTTTACAAATAAAGTGACAAGCAGCAGATGATTCATGACTGCATGACTGATCCTTCCTTTAAAAATCTGCTTCAGTCTGAGTTAAAAATGATTCCAGTCGTGATCTATTTTGAGTTCCGTGCTTAAGGAGTTCCACATGTTGATCTCCTGGGACAGGCTTAAATAATAACCCGTCACTTTCATAATAAACAAGCTTTAATTTGGCCTCTGAAAGTTGACTCACTCCAGCCAAACAACAGGCAGCTGCTACACAAACAGGGAGTTTGTCCTCCCCGCTGTTGCCAAGTGCTTACTCAAGGGGGATTTGTTGGGTTTCCCTCCTGTAATAATAAGAATAGTAAGGTCTAGACCTTACTTTGTAAAGTGTCCTGAGACAACTTTTGTTGTGATTTGGTGCTATACAAATAAAACTGAAATTGAAATGAACGTCCCTTGTTAATCTTCACATCTGTTATTGGGTTACTCGCTAACCTTTTCAAACCTTTGGGAGAAGGTGGTGCAGTCTGACATTTTCAGTCGACAGTCAGGATTTAGTTTGGAAAACAATGATTTACAGCAATTTGGTGCAATATAAAGAGCGGGGCTTATTCCAGATCATGTTTTTGCTGATATTTGACTTCCTTATCTCCTATGCACACATATGAGTGGGAAAGTGAACCAGGGGTCACGTGTTAAAAAATAGTAACAAGGATTACACCTTTCTGAATGAAGTTAGTGCTTTAATTTACTTTATATGAATGTTTTATCATGGCTTAAATTGTTAGGCCTTCGCCCGATTGTTGGCCGGGATTGACTTAAATTGTTACCTTTTTCATATTACAGTTATTTTGTTGGTTATTTTAAAATGCAAGGTTAAAGTTTGATAGATTAGAGGTTCAATTTAGGCCTTTAAGAAAAACATCGTTTAAGGATGTGAAACTACCCTCAGAAATGAACTGGTGCCCATGAGGTTTATGTCCACACTAGACCTTTCCCCTACGTTGTTAAATACACTCTGAAATAAGTTTGGTCACACGTTTCCAGTTCTGCAAAGTAAACAGAAGTGGAAAAACTGAAGTAAATGTAGATGAGCTAAGGTTTGCTGTGAGGAAGTTGACCCTGGGTAGATTTCATAGGAAATGACTGAACACTATTGTCTTCACTGGACAGGAAACCACTGCGAGCTTCTAAGAAGCAGCAGCTACATTTACAGCCACAACAGATCTGTCATGTACTGTGCTACATCTTCACTGCGGTCACATTCAGTCGTACAGTACATACTACATTTAAAACTCTCACACAAAGTCAGTGATGGGATTTATATGGATGTTTTATCAGGCTCACAGCACCATCATCAACCTGCTCCACCATGCTTCTTGTTTTCTTATGGAGCCCACCTAGCAGTTCCTTTCCTGACAGTATTTTTGTCTCCAGCTAGGGTGGCAATGTACTTCTTTACAAGGTGTTTATAAGGAAATAAACACTTACTCAGGTCTATTTGTTTACCCTGTTTATTCTTAACTTGATTTGCATTGTGAGTATATTCACCACATGTACATCCACAGGCGAGTTTTCATTGCTGCTTTTAGGACTTCACTATATACTTTACCTGCTTTAAAACCAATTAAGTCCTTTACTCCCTCTACTGTCCACACTTCTATGCTTTCTTTAAAGCATAGAAGCTTTTAAAGGTATTTTTGTATTTATCACCAACTTCACATATTTAAAAAAAACAACATAGCATTTGCATATTCCTTAGTTTTATGAATAAGTGTTTTTCTATTGTTCCTTTGTGTATCTGTTGATTTGGGTGGCCAGTTGGTGCAAACTATTCAGGAAAGGATCCACCCTCGCCAGTCTGCCACAGGGCTGACACGTAGACAAGCAACCACACACACTCGCACTCACTCCTACAGTCACCAGTCAACCTAAGCTGCATGTGTTTGGACTGAGAGGAATCCAAAGAACCTGGAGTGATCCCACACAGACACAGGGAGAACATGCAGACTACACACAGAAAGGCACTGGGTCAAACCTGGAACCTTCTCTTCAAACTATATAGTTTTTAAACATTTTTTGACACTTTCCTATATATTTATTTTTTCTAATTCTCATTTTACACTGTATTATTTTCATGAATGAATAATTACTGGACAGGCTGAGCAGACACAGGCCACAGGGGCAGGAGGGAGCAGGGAGCCCCAGGGCCTCACCTGCAAAATGTCAGTGAAACAAACCAACTATGAAGAATCACAGAACACCACAAAGAGATGTAAAATGCCAAAACTAGATACAAAGGGACTACAAAGTCCTATCAAGCTATGCAAAATGACAAAAAAGAGACTAAAACAAGAAGAAACGCAACCAGAATTTGATGTAAAACTTCAAAGAGAGCAGCTAAAATTAAATGGAGAGTGACTAAATATACTGTAGATGCAAAACAACCAGTGCTGTTGTTCTGCTCTGTTTACACAGAAAGAAAAACTGTTACCAGTTTAAAATACCTCAAAATTTTGTCTGTCGATTAGAAGCAATGATATGAATAATGTACTTATTGATAATAATAATAATAATAACCAAAGCCCTATGCATGATGAATTAAACACATGACCATGCCTAAAAACTGTGCCACAAAATCCAAATCCTCTTTATTCTCTGAGCTGGGAGTAGCTCTGTTTTTCAATGAGAGGAAGTGGGCTCATAGAATTACTGCACATTAGTTACACTTTGATTGTAATCTTCACTCAGCAGCAGAGGCTGTTCAAAAGGTTCAACGTTTATTCTTTTTACCTGCACATGACCATGAATAAACTACTGGATTTAACTGAATGAAACAAACACGATGAGTCACATATTAAAAAAGGGGGCAAGAAAAGCAAAGGCAACAGTTTAGTTCTTACTGACAGCATTTGTTTGTTTGTTGTTCTGAGCAGAACCATAGCAACAGTTTAGCCACAAAGTCCTCCTGAGTCCCCCAGTCAGGTCTGGTCCTGTTTGCCAGTGTAACCATTAGGAGACACCAACGCTGCACTAGGCTTATTGTACCAGTGGATTTCATTGACTGTGTTAACTGGATGTTACAACAAAACACGCAGAAAACACAGTTATGGGAACAAAACAGCATTTATTAAACTTTTAACACATTATTTTCAATCATGCAAGCAGAGGAGTTTTCACCTGAAACATGCGTAATGTTCACTGCTGCTGCCGTTTGGTAACTAAAACGGTTTTCATATACTCAGTGGGTCACTCACTCACAAGAGCAAAAAATGCCCAGATTTGCCTGCATCTGAACGTCACTTTAGTTTCATGGTGTAGTTACTGCTTCACTGACTGCAAGGCTCAAGTTGAGCACATACCTGTGCACGTGCTGTGCAGTAGCCTACAGCGGTGGAAAGTAACTAAGTACATTTACTCAAGCATGTATTTAAATACAAATTTTAGGTGCTTGTACTTGAGAATTTTTATTTTCTGCTACTACTTAGAAGCAAATACTGTACTTTTTTCTCCCCCATATTTGTGTATGTTTACGAACATACATACATATGTAGCATTTTTACAGTGTGGTATTGCTACTCTTATTGTAGTTAAGTAAAGAATCTGAGTACTTCTACCACTGGTAGCCTGTATCCATACCCTGATCCCAGTGTGTGTCATATTATGATGTTTCTGGAACATGGTGAATTTTAAAAACCTACCTAGCTGACAGAAGACAAACCTCCTGTGTCATGCCTCAGGGTAGCTGCCTGGGTCCGCTCTGATTTTTACTAATGATTAGCCTTATGTGTCAAGTCTTCAGTTCGATGTATCCTGATGCATCAAGTGACTGTACTACATTAACTAAAGTGTTAATGGACTGAGCTCGACTGTAGACGACAGCTAGTTAATCACCCACAACGTCTTTCAGTACTGGACTCAAAAGTAGAATAAGATAATCAGATTAAGATGTTGGGTATTGTACTTGATCACCATTTTTCATGGTCTCAACATATTGACAGTACTACTGTAGTGGTTAAAACAAACAAGATACCAGCCCAGAGGGAATGTGTAATAGAATAGTGTGTAGTTCATATATACTGTAGATATTATTTGTAGTAGTCATGTAAGGGTGAGCTAAGTGTTTATATAATCTTGGAGAGATCTGTTTCTCTTCTCTTAACTGTTTGGAGATGTTTGTGCATGAGGATCCTTGGGAACTATCCACTGATAGTGTGCTGAAGCAAGAATATCTTGGCTTGTGTCCTTCTTGTTTAATTTATGGGTAAACATGCCAAGAGAAGCCCTCCTTAAATGGGAGGCTTGAAGTTGGCCATAACTTCAGCTGCTTGTGTGCTCAGTTTTAAGGAAAGGAACTGGGTGCTGGGTCAGTGCAAGAAGTTCATGTACTGGACATTGCAGACAGTTATTGGAAGAAGGGGTGTAGAGCTGGCATGAGACTGTGACTGGCTTAAACCATGAGGATGGGAGTGGACAGGATATGTAACTGGGAGAAGAAAAAGTTAGGATAGCTATGGGTTAGTGAAAGGAAGGAGCGATGGTGCCGCAGTCGTGAGTGTGCGTTTGGACCCAGCCAGGTGGACTCTGGGCTCTAGACTCTGACTGACTGTACCTTGTCGCCAACCATGACTGATGGACTCTGTGACAATCTTCTTATTTAATACTGTATTTGTTCCTTTGCAGAGGTGATTCGACTCCCTATCTTGCAAACTATTGAACTGCCTTGAATTATTAGAATATTAAATTATCACTGGAATTGGCCTGATTTGTCTGAATTAATTTAGTTCACATCAGACTCTAGTAACCACACTATAATGAAAAAAGGCGAGGGGTTCAGTAGTTGTTGTGGAAGCTAATGGAGATCCAGATAAACAAACAAATAGCAGTGTGAGCTCATGAACCATGAGGTCCTCTCAGAATCAGCTGCAGTGTGATAGCAAATATAAAGGGTGACGTCACTGACGTCAGTGTCAGACTTTTAAAAGTATGTTGGACGTCTAATCACAAAATATTCTTCATCCTCTTCGCCACCCGTCCACCTGGTGGCGCCCCAGGCAATTGCCTAGCTCGCCTGTGCTTAGAAATGGCCCTGTTCTTAAACAGCTAGCTGCCTTTTAGGTGTGTTTAGAGAAGTGACTGTATCGACATCAGAAGTGCGTGATGTACAGCTTTAGAGGCCTTTGACTACATGTCACCACTGTGGACACAAAGAGCCTCTTACATAAATTCTTTAGGGATGAACTCCAACCAGAATTGAGAATAAAAGCACGAAACACATTATAAACCAGTGGGTCAGTGTGATGCTGGTACTGTGGCTTGGTACATTTGTTGTAGGTGTGGCTGCAGTTCTAGTTGTGGTTGCAGTTGTAGTTGTAGTTGTAGTTGTAGTTGTGGTTGCAGTTGTAGGCGGCAATCTGATGGTGGTTTGCTCCAAACCTACAGACAAACAGACAGTTAACATGTGATGCAGTTTTAAATGAAAGACAGACGTCAGCCATGTTTTCTTTTTTTTTCCACTTTGCCTGGTTTGGTGACTTTACATCATGTATTCATTCAACTTGATGGTTAACGTAACACAAAGCCCCGAAAGTGACCAAAGGCAGTAAAAGACTAGCAGATGAGTCAAAGATATAACTGTATACATCGTCATATTGGACAGTAAATTAGATAATTAACCTGAACTTGTAAAAAGACATTTAGTGCTTTATATTTTTTTGAGTTAGTGAAAATGAAAAAAGGTTTCATCTCCAACTAAACTGATGATCTTATCGTCACCACATTTCCAGTTTTCCTCATCTTTTCATGTCATAGTTTTCAGTTTTTTCTTCTTTAAACACACTATGTGATTTTTCCAGTGTGTTTGGGATCATCATTCACACGTCACAAACTTTGTCCCCTCTTTCGTGCAGTGTGTCCTCTCTCTCTCCCTGTACCTTTCTGTTGTTTGAGTGCAGCCTTTCTATTGTGTTTGTTTTTAATTACACACAAAATTAAACATCCTTGACTCCAATTTAAAATAATACAGTAACTGTAAGATACTGTATTATTTGATCATTTTAGTGATATTGCACAAGGCTGCACTTTGTTTTGTACTGCATTTTAATTTATTTGACCAATTCAGGAATGTCTTCCTTTTTACACTTACAATTATCATTTATTGGTGCATTCAATTAGATTTTTATTGTGTGTTAATCTTTTATAGTGTTTTGTCCAGTTTGGGGCTCCACAGATCCTCCACATGCTAACAAAAAGATGCATTAATAAATGGATAGCTGTAATCTGAATTTAGGATTTAGTCATTAGAACCACTGAACTCACCTTGGACATCCACATTAAAGTGCACAGTGATTGTCCCCACGCTGTTGCTGACAGTACAGTTGTACTGCCCTTGGTTCACAGAAGTTACAGAGTCGATAGTGAGAACGCTGTCGCTGAAGGAGGAAGGCTGAGCCAGAGGGAGCATCCATGTGTACGACGGTCTGGGGTTTCCCACAGCTGAGCAGTTCAGTTGTAGAGGATCTCCTTTTTTGACGGTGATCTGCTCTAAATGTGGCACGCTCATGAGCTGAGGCGCATCTGTGCATTGATTGAGGAAGAACAAAATACAACATCATCATCAACAGCAAGATGGAAACAAACTTAAAATGTAAAGATTACCCACTAATGTAGATATGCAGAGCATTGCAAAAGAGCAGTGGCGGAAAGAACCAAATGATTCCCACCACAGTACTACCCTTAACCAGAAAACAGAAAAGCCATTATACATCCTACAGTACTGTCTATGTTGGATTATGGAGGCATCCTGGCTGCTCATGCTGCTGCCACTACCCTTAAACATCTGGACACTGATCTTAATGAAACCTGTAGATTGACTAAATAAAACACATGTCGAGTAGAGTGAGTTTTTAGATGGAAAGCACTATAAAAGGACATAGAGATGAGGGCAACTGCAGTGTCATGTTCATTATACTGTGAGCAACAACAGTCTAGTAGTCAGGTGATCTATGTATTACCAATATAAAATACTGATTAGAGCAGCTTTAAGTAAAAGAAGAAAGCTGTAAAGGTTATGTGTTGGAGATTTCTTTTATCACCATCATATGGCAAATTTTTAGTGTCTAAGAGCAAAACAACAAAGTTGACTCACAGTAGACGGTTCCAGTGATGTGTTCTGATATCCGCACCGGAGGGGACCGTGGTCCTTCAGGTCCCAGATCCAGCTGGGCTCTACACCAGTACTGGACTCTATCATCGTCCTTACGTACAGTGACGTCCAGAGTTTTTATCACATTCGTGGGTTTCTTCTGTGTGTTATTCTCGATCTGTGTTTGACCCAGCTGTGTCCGTCCTTTGTAGAAGGTCACAGTGAGGTTTTCAACAGGAGCAACGTTCTGCACTGTGCACTGCAGAGTGTACTGACGGCCCTCCAACATCGGGCCAGTGTGGGAGCATCCATGTGTACGACGGTCTGGGGTTTCCCACAGCTGAGCAGTTCAGTTGTAGCGGATCTCCTTTTTTGACGGTGATCTGCTCTAAATGTGGCACGCTCATGAGCTGAGGCGCATCTGTGCGTTGATTGAGGGAGAACAAAATACAACATCATCATCAACAGCAAGATGGAAACAAACTTAAAATGTAAAGATTACCCACTAATGTAGATATGCAGAGCATTGCAAAAGAGCAGTGGTGGAAAGAACCAAAGTATTCCCACCACAGTACTACCCTTAACCAGAAAACAGAAAAGCCATTATACATCCTACAGTACTGTCTATGTTGGATTATGGAGGCATCCTGGCTGCTCATGCTGCTGCCACTACCCTTAAACATCTGGACACTGCTATCACACTCATCACTGAGAGTTATACTGACAAGCTGGATGGTCATCACAGATATTTGGAACATACTGTATCAGCACATCTGCATCTTGAAGGCTTTGCCGTTTAAGCAGAAGAGACATTTAACATCCATGTTTGCATTGAGAGCTCATAACCATGACACCAGGTCACAGGAGAGACTGACTTTACAGGTTCTTCATACCAACTCTGAGCTGATGAATGCTGGATTTTGCTACTGTGCACGTCACTAACAGAGACCCCTTCCTTTGAGAAACTTTAAAGCCATGCATCCTAAACTTCTAACAACATCTGAAGAGTCAGATGTTGTTAGGAGTTTATCATTCCCCCATTTAGTCATTAGAACCACTGAATTCACCTTGAACATCCACATTAAACTGCACAGTGATTGTCCCCATGGTGTTGCTGACAGTACAGTTGTACTGCCCTTGGTTCGCAGAAGTTACAGAGTCGATAGTGAGAACGCTGTCGCTGAAGGAGGAAGGCTGAGCCAGCGGGAGCGTCCATGTGTATGACGGTCTGGGGTTTCCCACAGCTGAGCAGTTCAGTTGTAGGGGATCTCTTTTTTTGACGGTGATCTGGTCTGACTGTGATGATTTCTCAAGGTGAGGTTTATCTGTGCTTTGATTGAGGTGGAAGAGACAGAGAGAAAAACATCTGTTATCAATGCACAAAGCAAACAAGTGCACAATTTAAAGACAAGTAAACAAATGGGAAACAAGCCCGGGAAACATTCTTATTTGCTTTCATTAATGAAATTAGTTGAAAATATGATCATTAGGAATGACATGTATAGAACATGGAAGTACTGACAAAATGTGATATCAATGTTAACAAAGTCATGTATTTATTAAATAATTGTAGGCCTTATTGTTGCTTACTGGTTTTCTCTGACTCTTTGTTATTGTGGTACTTGGCTCAACACAAAACAGACGTGTTGATTTTGTCATCAGACTCACAGTAGACGGTTGCAGTGATGTGTTGTGATGTCACCATTAAAGCCATGCATCCTAAACTTCTAACATCATCTGACTCTTCAAATGTTGTTAGAAGTTTATCATTCCCGCATTTAGCCATTAGAACCACTGAATTCACCTTGGACATCCACATTAAACTGCACAGTGATTGTCCCCATGGTGTTGCTGACAGTACAGTTGTACTGCCCTTGGTTCGCAGAAGTTACAGAGTCAATAGTGAGAACACTGTCAGAACGCTGTCGCTGAAGGAGGAAGGCTGAGCCAGCGGGAGCGTCCATGTGTATGACGGTCTGGGGTTTCCCACAGCTGAGCAGTTCAGTTGTAGGGGATCTCTTTTTTTGACGGTGATCTGGTCTGACTGTGATGATTTCTCAAGGTGAGGTTTATCTGTGCTTTGATTGAGGTGGAAGAGACAGAGAGAAAAACATCTGTTATCAATGCACAAAGCAAACAAGTGCACAATTTAAAGACAAGTAGACAAATGGGAAACAAGCCCGGGAAACATTCTTATTTGCTTTCATTAATGAAATTAGTTGAAAATATGATCATTAGGAATGACATGTATAGAACATGGAAGTACTGACAAAATGTGATATCAATGTTAACAAAGTCATGTATTTATTAAATAATTGTAGGCCTTATTGTTGCTTACTGGTTTTCTCTGACTCTTTGTTATTGTGGTACTTGGCTCAACACAAAACAGACGTGTTGATTTTGTCATCAGACTCACAGTAGACGGTTGCAGTGATGTGTTGTGATGTCACCATCGGAGGGGGCTGTGGTCCTTCAGGTCCCAGTTCCAGCTTGGCTCTACACCAGTACTGGACTCTATCATCGTCCTTACGTACAGTGACGTCCAGAGTTTTTATCACATTCGTGGGTTTCTTCTGTGTGTTATTCTCGATCTGTGTTGACCCAGCTGTGTCTGTCCTCTGTAGAAGGTCACAGTGAGGTTTTCAACAGGAGCAACGTTCTGCACTGTGCACTGCAGAGTGTACTGACGGCCCTCCAACATCGGGCCAGTGTGGTGAACAAAGGTGATGGATACATTGTCTGGAGGCTCTGTGGAGACAAATAAGACGAGAAGCTAGAGTTTGTACACAACAGCTGAAGGAGCATAAATCCTTTCAACATTTAAAGAATAAAGCAAGTTTACTTACTGTTATTTGCTTTCATTAATGAAATTAGTTTCAAATATGATCATTAGGACTGACATGTATAGAACTTGGAAGTACTGACAAAATGTGATATCAATGTCAACCAAGTCATGTATTTATAAGTAAAAGAAGAAAGCTGTAAAGGTTATGTGTTGGAGATTTCTTTTATCACCATCATATGGCAAATTTTTAGTGTCTAAGAGCAAAACAACAAAGTTGACTCACAGTAGACGGTTCCAGTGATGTGTTGTGATGTCACCACCGGAGGGGGCTGTGGTCCTTCAGGTCCCAGTTCCAGCTTGGCTCTACACCAGTACTGGACTCTATCATCATCCTTACGTACAGTGACGTCCAGAGTTTTTATCACATTCGTGGGTTTCTTCTGTGTGTTATTCTCGATCTGTGTTTGACCCAGCTGTGTCCGTCCTTTGTAGAAGGTCACAGTGAGGTTTTCAACAGGAGCAACGTTCTGCACTGTGCACTGCAGAGTGTACTGATGGCCCTCCAACATCGGGCCAGTGTGGTGAGCAAAGGTGATGGACACATTGTCTGGAGGCTCTGTGGAGACAAATAAGATGAGAAGCTAGAGTTTGTACACAACAGCTGAAGGAGCATAAATCCTTTCAACATTTAAAGAATAAAGCAAGTTTACTTACTGTAAACAGTTACAGCCAGTTTGCTAAGACACTGCGTAGCATTAGCGTCTTCATAATGGCACATAGGAATTACATCCCATTCAGTCATTCTGTCAACTGTCCACAAAATCCTGCTGCCGTTTAGTACATGGTTCCCCACTGATGTTTCTAAACCAGGACTTGTAAAGTTGCAGCCAGGTTGACATATCGTGCAGGTGGCCGAGGCTGGGTCGCCGTGCTTCACTACCAGTCTGGACGGACTGAACACAGGTTTATCTGCACAGCTGTCATCTGTAAGGAAGACATTAAAGGTTGTAAAGTCAGATACACTATGAAAGCATCTAAATCTGTAATTCCACAAACAGTCAGTCAGAGCCATTCATCTCAGCTTTGTTTATTCATTTTTAGATAATGGTCAACCTCTCCTTAACTGCTGAAATTTCACAAATATACCGAGTTTTCCTCCTTTAATGTGTGCATGTCTTACTTGCTTATAAAGTTGTGCGTAGTGCACCTTAAAAACATCCATACAAGAACCAGTTTTTAGTATTAATTAATTTTCTACTATTACAAATAATAATAAAAACTTTAACTAAGTGCTTAAAGCTGCAGTATGTAACTTAAGGTAGCACTGGCATGAAACTCCAAATCAATCCACTCTGCTCTACCTGGTGCTCCACCACCTCTACCCAGCTCTTCAGATATTTGTTATGAAACTATGATAAATAAGAATGCAACAACATTTACTGATCAAGCGAAATAATTGAACATCTCAAGGTCAATCCTGCTCAAAACCATTTAGAAGCTAATATCTCTGTGGTGCTACCGGTGCTGTTCAATGAGTCTGGGTCACAGGAGGCTTCGACAGCACCTCTCCACAATAAGTCTGTAGCTTTAAACGAAAATGCAAAAGGAACGAGAGCCACAGGGATCACAAAACAGTCGAATCCATCTGTATTATCCTCAACTGTCAAGTGGTTCTGAGTTCATAAGATTCTAAAAGGTAGCTGTTAATATTTTAGAACAACCAGTACAGGAGTCCGACATGAAATCCTACAGCCTGATATCAGTAACGCCGTCTTTGAGGCAGACTAGAGATAGAAAACTCTTCTCTTACCCTGGCTGAGCACATGGAAGCCATGCAGAAAACTCAAAGAAACACCCAAAAGAATGAAATGGAAAAACATTTTCCCAGTTATTTTCTTGTAAAACAAAAACCTCTGAACACACTACGAGACTAAAAGTTGGTCAGAAAGTGAATGCACCAAGATCACCACCCCTCTATTTGGCTTTAGTTGAACAATGTTGGCAGTGCAACCTGTTTCCACATCCTCTCTGCGTTCAAAGTTGGCTCAGGCCTCGTACATCCCCACTCCTGTTCGTATTAATGGAACTTTCCATAGTCGGAGTACGACCTCCATCATCTTTACTGACTACTTAATAATAACTAATAAAAAAGAAAATCTAGAATCTGCATTTTTAAAAGTTTTTAATGATCTTCTGCAAATAACTGAAAATATTTTGGTGCTTCTAGATTTGATCCTGTGGACCACAACATTCGTATTTCACATCTTGAAAAATGTTGTGGTGTTCAGGGATCTGCTTTAGATTGGTTCAAATCCTAATTGTTAAACAGGACTTTTTCAGTTGGCATCGATGAATGTTCATCCTCCTCTGCTCCTCTTTCTTCTGAGGTACCACAAGGAGACATTAAAGCACTGATGTCTTTTGAATGTTATTCACCCATATGAAAACAAAGTGATTCATCTCGACGTGGTTATTGTGATGCATTATATACAGATATCAGCCAGTTCTCATTCCCTTGTCTTCAACTCGTCTGAAATGGTGCTGGCCAGGCTCCTCACAGGCGCTAGTAAGCATGACCATATCTCTCCTGTATTAATGGTATTTCATTGGCCTCCGGTCCATTACAGGATTCATTTTAAGGTTTTTAAGGCACTCAATGTGTTAGCACCAGCCTACTGTACCTCTCTGAGCTCCCACACCCCTACACGCTTTGTGCAGGGCTTCTGATCAGATGCTCTCGGTCAGCCCCAGAGCTAAAGCTCAAAGGGGCCTATGCTTTTTGACTACCACTGTCCGAGACACACATATTCAGACATAATGGTCTGTGATATCTGTAGGCCTATAGCTGGTTTATACACAAGCAATAACACGCAAAGTTTGGTCTTTCATGTTGACAAAGAGGAGGGTAATTTGTGCTTATGACTCAAGGAAATGAGTGCAGAGCTGCAAGCAAACATTCCTCAACTTCCCGGGGATCTTTATCAAGCTTCCTCAGAACCCTCCCGTGATTACTAGATAAACATTCAAGGACCCATCTACAGGCCTCACTAGTTTTTCTGCAGTAACAACTGTTCTATTCTTGAAATCTCTATTTTAATCCTTATTCTTAACTTGATAGGCAGACGAAGGTGATGGTGGATTCTTTGGAGATATCGTAGACACACAGTGCAAGTGTTTGGAAAAGAACAGGATCAGAACAAATCGAATCATAAGATACTTCAAGTCTCAGTCCAAAACCATCTGAGCTGCTAAATTAGGCTACAGAAACAAAAAGCTCTACAGACATCAGCAAAGAAACATCCAGGGTACAGTGTGAGGCTACACTGGACAGTGGATGATGGTGAAATCAAAAAATACTAAGAAAACTGAAGACTTTGACCTGCTTTCTTGACCCAGTTCATGCACTACCAACATTTTAAAAATGTCACTAATTAACTGAGGAAGTCCTAACAATCAGCCTCTGAGGCTGGGTCTTTTCTATAGCATTTAAGATTGTGCTGGTTTTAAAAAGTAGTCTCAATCCAGGTTTAGTTTTCTCCAGAAGAGTAAGCAGCAGATCAGTAGCTTGTTAAAAAGAAGTACTACTAAAGTTACACACAGCTGAAACATAAGTCAAGAATGTAATGAAATGCATTTTTATGTAGAATTTTATGGCAGAATACAAGAAGCGGAACCCAAAAGCTACCAAAAAAGAAAAATAAATTAAAAATGTTGTACATCTGTACAAAAGATGAAGAATGAAAACTAGACAACAGTCTGATTGTTGCTGCAGCTTTTTTCTCTTCTCCTTTTAGAATAGCCTTCTTCTGTAGCTAACGTGATGCCAGGTGCAAGTCAAGTGACGTCCATGAATAGTTTCACAGTGCACAGTAGTCCCAGTGCTGTTCGTTTGGTAGCACCGGACTGAGACGCAGGCAGCAGCTGATGGTGGGCTCATAAAACACTGTCTCTGGGTCCTCAATCTTCACTTCTGTCTGGCGCACAGAGCGGGCGAACAGAGTGGGTTTAGGACATTTAACAAGGGTTTTTCTGGTCACGCAGCCCATCTCTGTAAGAGCCTACAGAGGAGAGAGTAAAAGAGTAAAAAAACAAAAAACCATTTCAATGATAAATCTGGATTAGGTGAATCACAGCCATCAGAACTTCCCACTACAGCTGTTAGTTGAGCCACGAGGCTGCCAACAATGAGAACGTCCACATTACATAAAAGGAGAATGAAATTCTCCAATGGAAACATTAGAACAAAACGGGAGAACAAAATATAGGAGGACGAGGAAGGAGTTATGTATTAAAATGTTTAATGTTGTTTTAAAGTTTTGAATGAATTTACAAAATGATGTGATTCCACTACTACTGGGAAACACATTCAAAAAGACAATTAATCAATTCCCAGTAACTCTGATTGAGCAGGCTGTGGACACAGACATTATTCTGCAATCAAAACAGTCCCAGGTAAAGGCCGGGTTTTCTGCAACTGAGGCCAAAGTCTCAGAATGTTTGGTATCTACTGTAGAGACAGTGAGAGAAACTGGGGACAAAGCAGGAGAATGAGTAAAAACTGAACACTTGAGTTGAGACTACTGTCTGATCTGCTGATGAGACCATCTAATAACAGCTTTTCATTTTTCTGGCCAAACGGTGAAGCGTTGCCAATAAGTGTTTGTCCTCACTGTAAAGCAAAGCATGAGCCATGTACATATGAGCATGTTGTGTATGAGTATTTCCGTTTACCTGCACGAGTTCCAGCACTGCCATCGGCTGCAGCACATCCTTGTAATGTTCCAACAGCGTCTGCTGTGTGAGTCCAGGTCGGGACATGATGTGATAAAGAACGGCCTCCAGCATGCCCTTACACACCTGCCGGTTCAGCTTACCGTCAACCATGCGCCACGGTCGGCTGATGAAACTCACGTTCTCACTGTGCGAGTTTGAGTTGGTGAAGTAAACGGAAAGAAAAAGTTAAGACACACATGAAAGGGAGACACAGTTAACAGTGATAGGATCAGAATCAGTCTGTACTTACCCATCACTCAGATCAGTCAGGGGGCAGCATGCCTCCTCGTCTCTCTCTTCATTTCTACTGTTCCGTCTTGGTCTTTGCTCTCTCTTCTCTTCCTGTATTTCCTCAGACTGCACCTGCTCTCTTTCCTTTTCAGGCGGTGTTTTCTTTCCTCCCTCCACTTCTAGGTTCAACAACTCATCTCCCTTTCCCTCATCTGCCTGCTCTTTGTGCTGTTCCTCATTAAGGTTCTCTCTTATTACGTCACTTGACAATCTTTCTACATCTCCTCCGTCTACGCTCTCTTGTCTGTCCACAGCTGACTTCTTTTCGGGTGGTCCCTCAGCCTCCTGTTGGCCTTCTTGCCTGCATCTCTTGCGCATGAAGGGGATGCTGTGCTCGTTCTCCAGAAAGGGGAGTCCATCAGATGTGAAACGTGACTGGGGCCACTGCTTGGAGCTTACAGTCAGCAGCCACGGCTCAGCATGCTGCAAAAGCACCCAGCGTGCACCCAGATTCCCGACTCTTAACACCTGGCCTTCTTCTTCTAAGTCCTGCAGCAAAAAGGGAAAATATGAAACAAGGGAGACACACCATAATAAAAAGAGACGGGAAACTGATTGTTCGCTAAGCTCCTCCTCCAAAACACCAGCTGTCCTGTCATCTACAGGACCTGAAATCTGGCAGAGAAGAGTTTTTGTCAGCCTTTTTGTCTCTCTTCAGTGGACGTTTAAGTTACATGCATCAAGCACTCTACCAGTCAAAGGTGTGGGGTGCCCGACAGCTGAGTTGTTATGGTAGCACACCATGTACATATGCACAGTGTGTAAGCGACGTCAGTGGTTCCCGTCCTGCTGGTAACATTTGGGGCAGGCCAACAGTACCTGAGGGGCCTGGGCTTTAGAGCATGTTCTACCGTGTACAAAGACAAACAAAATAAACCAAATGGCACAGCCTTCTTCAGCAGCTGTACATGTGTTTACCTTCAAATACTGCTGCAGGCTCCTGCTGCATCCAGACTGTGGCTCTTCCAGGTGTGCAAGAGCCTTGTAGAGGTCATGTAAGTCCAAGCCCTTCTCAGCAGCTTCATCTAAGCTCCTCCTGAGCTGAGCCGATGCATCTATGTCCTGAGGAGTGTATCCTCTATGCTGAACCAAATGCCTGTTCACATTGGGTGGAGAAAAGGAGGAGGTGCGGACAGAGTAGGTGAGGATGGAGGGCAACGGGGAGGGACCACATTTACTCAAGTCCAGTGGTAGAGAGTCTAAAAATGAAAAATTAACCAAATTAGTGTTTGTAGAACAAACAGCAGTTTGTACATCTTCTGGGCGTGTTGATACTTACGCTCCACGAACATGTTGTGAGCAGGTGTGTTGCGCAGCTGCAGCCTCATGATGCAAGACTCCACCACAATGTTATCACTGGTGTTGAGGTTACGTAGTTTGACTAGAAACAAAACAACAGTTTTACAAATCTAAAAAGGGCTGAATGTTATTTTCATTATGGATTATCTTTTCATTTTCTTTAAAAAAAATCAAGTACTCCAGACAATCAAGTTCATTCATCTATCAGAGACAATGAAAAGCCAGTAAACGGTTCGGGCTCTACCTATGCCTGGAAAGCAGTATCCTTGCATCATCAGGTACTTGGTGTGTGAGGCTTGATGAGCCTTCACTTCCAGCTTCTTTCTCCCCTCACAGTCCTCACCGTCATCATCATCATCATCGTCCTCCTCCTCCAGCGCTGCCATACTGAAAAGCCACAATTTACACCAAGCTCAGTTTTAAAACAAGAGGAGGTTTGGGCTGCAACTAACATCAACTGTAATTATCTCTACACATTATGGTATTTTCCCCATTTAACTTAAAAAATATATATACTGAAAATATTTAATTCACTGTCAGAAGAAAAACTGCAAACTTCACATTTTGGAAGCCACAAGAAACATTTTCTGCAATTTTGTTTAAAAATAAAGTGTTATCTGGTTACAGAATCGTTACTATAGGTACAGTCATGTGAAAAAATTAGGACACCCTTTGAAAGCATGTGTATTTTGTAACATTTTTTAATATATGGCTATTTAATCTCAATTTTAACAATACAGAGAGATTAAAGTAATACAACTAAATAATTAAAACTGAGGAAAAGTCTTTTCAAGATCTTCTGTAAATGTAATTCTACAAAAATGCCTATTCTGAGGAAAAAGATAGCACACCCTCACATGTATGCCCTCTTAAAATGGCTCAAATCACACCAGGTATATCACACCAGGTGCACATAATTAGTAGGTCATTAATCAGCATTTTGAATGAGGCTTGCCCTATCTAAACCTCAGACATTTAGTTTGGTGTGCTCCTGACTGTTGAAGTGAGAGTGAGCACCATGGTGAGAGCAAAAGAGCTGTCAGAGGCCTTCAGAAAAAAACATTGTAGCAGCTTATGAGTCTGGTAAGGGATTTAAAAAGATCTCAAAATATTTTGAAATCAGCCATTCCACTGTCCGGAAGATCGT